TGTATTTCTATTTAATTTCTAGTCTAAGAGTATAAATATGTTTGTATGTTTAAAGCCCAGAAGTAGCTGCGCTCAGTTGACTGGGTCCACTGAGACAAACAGAGTCTGTTGAGAGTTCATCAGTTGACAGTCAGGAGGTCTGACGAGTTTAATCTGATGTTTCACTTCCAACATTTACAATCTACAGCAGCTCTTCAACACACATCCACTGGGGACTGATACTGTTCACACCTGCGATTACACTACCCAGACGCTGTTGCATTGTGGGGTTTTATAACTGAACTTTGTGAGCAGGAACAGAAAATAACTGAAGTTAAAGATTCTGGTTTCCATTTCTCTTCAGAATCAGAACTTTTACTACTAATGTGCATCAAAGGGGACAGGTGAGTACGGGGACAGGTGGGTACGGGGACAGGTGAGTACGGGGACAGGTGAGTACGGGGACAGGTGAGTACGGGGACAGGTGAGTACGGTACGGGGACAGGTGGGACAGGTGAGTACGGGGACAGGTGAGTACGGGGACAGGTGAGTAAGGGGACAGGTGAGTACGGGGACAGGTGAGTACGGGGACAGGTGAGTACGGGGACAGGTGGGACAGGTGAGTACGGGGGACAGGTGAGTAAGGGGACATGTGGGTGAGTACGGGGACAGGTGAGTACAGGGACAGGTGAGTACAGGGACAGGTGAGTACGGGGACAGGTGGGACAGGTGAGTAAGGGGGACAGGTGAGTAAGGGGACAGGTGAGTACGGGGACAGGTGAGTACGGGGACAGGTGAGTACGGGGACAGGTGGGACAGGTGAGTACGGGGGACAGGTGAGGGGGACAGGTGGGACAGGTGAGTGTACGGGGACAGGTGAGTAAGGGACAGGTGAGTAAGGGGACAGGTGAGGACAGGTGACCTCGGGGGACAGGTGAGATGAAGGGGAGTGCAGAGGGGACAGGTGAGCAGGGGACAGGAAGAGGACGGGGACAGGTGAGTACGGGGACAGGTGGGACAGGTGAGTACGGGGGACAGGTGAGTAAGGGGACAGGTGAGTAAGGGGACAGGTGAGTACGGGGACAGGTGGGGGAAGTGAGTACGGGGGACAGGTGGGCGGTGAGTAGACAGGTGAGTAGGGGACAGGTGAGTGGGGACAGGTGAGTACGGGGACAGGTGAGTACAGACCTCTTAGGTGAGATGAAGGGGATGCAGAGCAGCAGGACGAAGAAGACCTCTGCGTACAGGAAGGTGGCCACTGCCGTCCACTGCAGACTCATCCTGACTCCTGAACAGGAAACACACCTGAGACCAGAACACAACAGGTATTAGTCTAGACCCAACAGAGCCTCTCATATTACATCTGACCTTCACACCAATGACACAGAGCTTTATTGATCCAGTCCAATATATTGATTGGGGGGGTCAAACTATCAGTTTCATACATCCAGAGTATGTGGCTGCTGTTTGTGAGCTGACCTTTAACCCTCAGTGTGTGTGGGGGGGGGGCAGCTGTGTCATACAATGCTGCAACAACTCTGCAACTCATGCTAACACAGGATGCTAACACAGGATGCTAACAGTCACAACCACAACAATGGAAACTCTATCTCCGAGTAACAGCAGGAAATATCCACATCCCAGCCACAGGAGATTATTGGAAGTGTTAACATCCAGTAAAATAATAATAACTGGATTATTATTATTATATATAATATTATCCAGAGACCAGATTAACCACTTATACTCCCTGGAAATGTTCCGTCTATTTCCTGGATGTCATAAACTCTCCAGAGCGGTCCTGGTACCGTCTATTTCCTGGAATGTGACAACTTTTTCCAAGGCTCTGATCCAGCGTTATGAGCTGCTTCAGGCTCCGACTACTTGCTGGCTTCAGGCTCCGACTACTTGCTGGCTTCAGGCTCCGACTACTTGCTGGCTTCAGGCTCTGACTGTATAATTAACGGCTGTATCCGGTAATGAGCTCGTTAACAACATCAGCTTCATTTCGCGCCACTTGAACGAGTTCAGAGTTAGCAGCTGTTAGCTTCAGGAGGCTGTTTAAATAAACCCGCAGCTCAGACTCACCGCACAGAATCCCGCAGACAACCGCACAGAATCCCGCAGACAACCGCACAGAATCCCGCAGACAACCGCACAGAAAGTCGCCGCTCTCGAGCTTCACGCACTCAGCTCGCTCCGGTTAGTTAGCCTGTTAGCTTAGCTTGCTGTCGTACACACTTCCGGCATTTCATGCCAGCTCATCCCGATGTCGGCTCCTGATTGGATACAGGACGCAGAGGGGCGGAGCCACGATGTGACAGCGCATTACGTCATAGTATATACGTAAACATTCTTTATTGTCATTAACATATCAATACTGATATTAATCGATAATACACTGGCATTACCATTTCTATTAAAGTTACTGTAGGTCAAATAAATCATTAAAATAAAATAAAATGTAAAATTCAGAAAATTAAACAGAGTGCGCTGTATGTTTAAATTATTATTAGTAAAT